AAGTTACAGAGTGCAGACAGAGTCGGCAACAGGTTCACTGCTGCCAGAGATTAATTGGAGCCTCTCGTAGAATGACTTCTGTTTCTTTCTGCGACTTAATTATTCAATCACTTTTTAATTTACTGAGCTTCAGTATTGGCCAGGTGTGTGTGTTTTGGTTATTTGAAGAAAAAGTTGCAGAGACTACTGTGAGAGTAGAACCTGTCAGTAAAAGGATTAATCGCTTGCGTAGGTTTTAAACTGGTTGCTTAAGTTTCCTACTTTTTGGTGGATGATGTGAACATTTTAGCTCAGTTAGTATAAGCTGGGGAAGCTTGCATGCCGGCTTTGTGAAACCTCACTGAGATGGGTCACTCCGATAGTAAACTGAAATATAGAAAAACATCTTACTCGTGTGTTTTTGCATTTTACTTCCTCAGCATATGTCAGACTTGGTATGTGGAGTCAACAAAAACATGACAGGTTACGCTTGAGATTAGCAATTTTCCCAACAACAAAAGTGGGTTTTTTTTGCTGATGGACTGCTTTGTCTGTGTGTAAGCAGAACTATTCTGTCAATTGGTTCAGGCATGGCAACAATACTGAGTTGTTGTGTTTCAGGTATAAACAGATTAGCACAAACACAACCTCCTTTATAGTGACATTACTGGCAGGGATAACACGCTTCGGATGAGTCCTGCTATGTGTGATACTAAAATATGGGCAGACTTAACACACAAACACACACTTTGAATGTATTTAGATCTTAATGAATTCTCTGGTTGCTGAGGTCATGGTGGGTTTAGATTATCAACCCTGAACATCTGTTAGCAGACCACCAGCACATCAGAGTCTCTACACTACAATACTGTACCAATTTAATTTTACTAATGAAAACTTTTCTCTCTTTTACACTATTTTACACTCTTTCATGTGACAGTTGGACTGATGATTAATATTGTACCCAACATGATGTCAATTTGTGAGAACACTTTGATAGCTCTTTGTGGTGCGAGAATGATTAGTCAAAAATTAACTATTTTGATATTTAGCCTAATCATTTGGTAATTTTTCAAACAAAGCAACCAAACATTAGCTGGTTCCAGCTCCTCAGTTGTGAGGGTTTGCTACTTCTCTTTGTCTTATGTGATGGAAAAATAAATACATTTTGGGTTTTGGACTGTTGATTGGACTAAACAAGCAATTTAAAGACATCACCTTGGGCTTTGGGAAATTGTGATGGACATTTTTCACTATTTTCTATCATTTTATGGACTAAAATTATCAAAATCAAAATGATCAAAATGATCAATTAATTATTGAAGAAAATAATCTGTAGAATAATAGATAAATAAGTAATCATTCTTACTCAAGAAGTGAGAGATTATTAGGCTTATCTTTACATAGTTGCAGCATCTGATAGGGCTGGTTCTCTGGTACTGGTCCTACTGGTTTTTGAGATTCGAAAGAAACTGTAACAGGCAACTATGACAGGTTTTGCTCTCGCCTGCTTGCTTCTGTTTATTTATCTTAGGAGGTGTAGGCTTTGTTTTTACTTCTGAAACTGTAGGAAAAACATTTAACTGATTTAAAAAAAAATCAAAATGATGATGATGATGATGATGACTAATAAATTAAATAAAAGTATGCTTTTGATTTTTACTGCAGTCTGCCCTGTTGAACTGTCAGCCATGTGCCAAAAAAATGGCAGTTGCTGGCAGATGGCACCGATTTCCA